TAACCTATTATTCTTAATAATGATATTATGTATTTTTGTTAAACTAGCTCTCCTATTTGCTAACCTTTCTCTATTAAACAGTAAAATTTTATAGCACAATCTGCTCAGCTATAGCTTTATCCTATTAACAACCCAGCAACTACTTATTAAAAAACAAAAGAAATTTTTATATTTTACTATGGAGTGATATTAATATGCTCTTTAGATTTATAAAATTAGATTTGGTTAAATCTTGGAATTTAATACCCGCCTAGTTAATTGTTATCAAAATAAACTATTTTGTAAAATGACAGATATGTATTTTACTCTGATTAAAATTATTTTTATAAATTTGATATGGAATTAAAATAATATCAAATTTTAGAAGCTTAAATAACTAATTTAAAATATTAATAGTTAATTACCTTTTATACTTTGAATAGCACTTCATATGTTTAAAAATCAGGTAGAATAATAGACACAGATAATATGATTGTAATTAAATAATAAGAAGAATATAATAAATTTATTGGTTAAATATAAATGGATGACTTATAGTACCACTTATTTTAATCAGAAAATGGTGTTTACTGGCATAAAAATTTACTTAATATTCCTTATTAAATACTAAATTTAACAACAAACTAAAATCTTTAAGATCTTTACTTTGTAAGTTAATCGAATCTAATAGCAATATATGATTAAGACTCTTAATCTATTTTTATTTATGATTTAATAAAGCAAATTTCATTATTAAGCTAAATACCAATTTACTTTAGTTTTGATTTATTAATTAAGATTGTAGATTAAACCACTTATAATTTTATTTATGTAAAGGGTTAAAATATCTTTCTATATAATTAATAATAAAATAATAATAAAAATCAATAATTAGCTTAGTTAGATTCAAATATTACAGAATGGTAATACTGTTTCAGCCAAAAAATTATAGTTGCAAAAACTTAAAAATAAAGCTTATTTATCATAAAGGTATTTTAATCTCATTTTATTATTTTTTAATTAACTTTATTTTAAAAT